ATGTTTCCTTCCTTCTTTGGAGTTTAAGAAATCAAAGKTATACCTCCTGCTGTGGTATTTTCCCACATTAGTGTGGACTGAGCTCTTTGCTGGGTGATCAGGACTGTCTTGGACCAGAAAGACACTATTTCCCTCTTATAAAACTTCTCCCAGAATATCCATGATCCTACTTAGTGCCTTTTCTGTCTATTCCTTTAGTTCTCAATGAAGGTAGCATTTCCCTAAATATGGAAGTCATTTTAATTTACGATTTTATAAAGTATTTTTAGTCTTCACATAGTACTAATGATTTGGCCCAAAGCTAATATTTCTGTTTCTTTACCTGCCATATTGTCCTTACCCCATCACACTCATCCTAACCTCTCCACTGAAACTGCTGTCAAGGGTTCCTGGAGATCTGACAGATCTGTTGACTGACTTCAGTCCTTCTCTTACTTGAGCTTGTGACATTTGATAAYGGTTGACCATTTCCTCTTACTCCTATGGACATCAGTGATACATTAACATCCAGACAGTATTTATCAAGCAAGGCAGATTATATAACAGTGAACAAGAAATGCATTTTTCCCTACATAGAAGTTTTATTCTCATGATGTTGTGCTTATTACATGAGAGTTAGTATTAGACCATCTGAGACCTAGCTCTGACACCTACTGTTGTGTCAACTTAAATAAATTTCTTAACAGTCTTCACCTGTAAATAGTAACATTACAAATACCAGCATAGTAATTTCAAAAAGTGTTAAATAATCTCTGAAAATATTTAGCACACTGATTGGCATTCTTTACATTCTTAGGGGGCAGAATTCTAAGTCTGTCAATGTACTCCTTTTTTAAAGATACTATATCATCTCTTTGGCTGGTGTTCTTTACTCTGGCCTTGGCAATCTCAAGTCCCASTTTTGCAATGCTGATTGCACTCCTGCCTGCCAGCCATTAAACACTGACTACTGTTCTTCCCTGACATACTKGCTTCCCACCTCCCTCCTTCCTCATACTCCATTAGAGTTCATCTGCTGAGGCCTCTTCACTTCCTGGTCAGGTTTTGAACACCTGCTTTTTCTCCCAGTCTCTTTTCAAACATTTCTGCAAGCAGAGGCAGACACTGTTTCTTTGCATCTCTTTAGGTCCCTACGCATATCTGTCACAAAACACAGTCAAGTGTAATCTGCAGGGGTCCATGAGAGAAAAGAAAGTGTCTATTTGTCTTGGTATTCTTCGATGTGGCACAACTGTGACTTTAAAATATGGATAATATTTATCAAACAAATACTTAGATGAATGCTTACTTTCTATGAAAGGACACTGTTCTCTATGTGCCAGGTATTGTGCTAGTTRCTGTTAGATATGCAGCATCAATAGGACAAGGTCATTGTCTTCAAGAAAGGCACACTCCAAGGCAGGATGGGATAGCCGATGAGAGATAACACCCATATCGGGAAGGAACATTCTATTTCATTCAGAGGTATGGGATGTTAGCATTTAGACTAATCATCTTCTTAAAAGAGGTGAATTAACAGTAATTTAAAATTTGGACTTTTCACTTACCCATTAATAAGAGCAGTTTTATTATAAATTCTGCCTCTTGAGGAAATGTATTCTCSTAGACCCAAATGTCAAGCTGTCATAGCATCTTGTGATAGAAGGAGATGAGCATTGTCTATATGTTTCAAGTGATTTACTGTAAGTAGGGGTTTGTGTCAATCGTAGGTGGAATCTTGGGAAGTAGAACTTTAGCAGTTATCTGAGCTAAACCACTTTGTGCTTCTGATTTTTGAGATAAGGTTTAAAATGGAAGTTTTGGCYACTCATTTGTAGTATATTTGCAGAAGTTGAAGTGATCTTTCCCTACCTTTAATTTTTTAAACTCTAAGAATTTTTTTCTTCTTTTCTGGTCTTATGCAGTTTAACAATTGTGGGAMTGAAAATCTTCATTAGTTAATTGAATATTGTGATTTATATAGAATTATTATGAACAGTATTTGAGTATAATATTCAAAACAAGTCAGCTTTTCTTTAGTGAAACAAAAGTCATCTTAGTATCATGGTGCACTCTAGTGACATCATTTGAAAATTAATAGTCATTATATCTTAAAGTACAGAGGTGATTTAAAAAAAGTATGAGTTTATTTTGAAATAATTTCAAGTTTACAGAGGAGAAAATGCAAGTACAGTACAAATCATGCTCTTTTCTGAGCCACTTGCTTCACTACCACTGAATGCTGTGGTATGCAGTTCCTGGAAATGAGGACATCCCTACATTGAACCAYCAAGGTAGGGGAATTAACTTTGTCCAGAGGGCATTTTTAGAGCAGCAAAGGTKTTTTAGTTGATAAAGTGCTGCATATGAGGTAGTTTTTATTTTGTTGCCTCTGGTAATTTCTTTACTGKTTGTTTTTTGGATTATTATTTGAGTTCTGGCACTGAGGATAGAACATGAACTTACTGTGTTGTCTTTATATCTGTGTTCTTCACTTAAGAACTGTGAGGGCATTTTCACAGTTATGAGAAATGTCAGTTAGAAGCAATTCTTTTTCTCTTCTGTGCTTATAGACCCTATATACTTAGAAGACACAATTCTTCAAAATTTTGAAGCAATCTATGGAATGTTTTCAGTGGTAYGTAGAATATTGTAGTTCAGCAAAGATCAATCAGATTCTAGGAATGCTTATTCTGAATTTAGTTTTTAAGAAGAATTTCATAATTAGAAAATTTCACAGCAACAAAGGATACCACMACTGAATGTGGCCATAACTAATTTGTTCATGTTAGAATTTTTTAGTTATCACATAGTGATGGTGACATAGGATTTGGCATAGAAAGAAGTATTAGTGAAAGAGATGAGAGTGAATTTTCAGACATGTAGTAATCATACTAGGAGACTCTGGTTTGATAAGCTAAAAACAATGAGAGTTTTAGGAGGAACAAATGATCAGTAGTGTCAAATTAAAGGAAAAACAACAAACAACGTCAAATAGRATAAGGACGAAACAGCATATGTTGGTTTAGATAATTTTGAAAGCAGTTCCACCAGAGCAGGAGCCAAGTTGCAGATCATCCATCTTGCTTCTTTCTTCCAYACTAGAGAACTGGGCAGATAAGTGCTATTATTATCAACTCTGGCTGGTGTTATTGTTAGTAAATGCAGCATATGTTGAATAGCAATCTTGTAACATGGCAATGTAGACTGAGTAGTGATGTTTTTATCATAATAGGTGGCTTTCTTAGCTAGCCTTGAACATCAAATCTATGAAACTGAAATAAATGTGAAATGTTTCTTAATATAGGGACTCCTTACTTAGGTTTCTACTTATTTTCATTTCWCATGGATTTTGAGGAAAATCTATGAATTGTAAATTTGACATCTTACCTCGACTACCATACTTTTAGACTCTATAGTAAGTTCTCAACAAATACTTGATGTGTTCTGAATTTATTTTWAAAATAATTTTATTGATTGTAATACTGCCACACTTCTGGATGGAAGAAACACTCAAGAAATAATAAAGATAGAAATAGGAAAACAAGCCATAGACAGTGTCAATTTTTCTGCATTCTAACGGGGTACTAGTAAAGTGTCCTGTCTTTCCAGTCCAGCCTTGATTCTCAGGACTTCCTTTTAAGATGGAATAGATAGAGTGGACAAGAAAAGATGAAAATGAAACTACACCTACTAATTTCAACCAAACTCAAGAAGAAGTAATGGAGTGACTGTATAGAAGCTGTCTTTAGCATACAGATTCTTTCTAAGTGTTGAACTTCTCTTTGGACCATAAATTTCTACTATTTTTTCCTTAGATCATTCTCATGGTCACATGTGATCCTGCTTCTGATTACTCTACAATACATTGTGTGTATTTATTTATTTATACTTATKATAATTCTAGTAGTAAAAGTAGAGTTCCTTTTGCTGGGTTATCAAAGAATGAGTATGTACTGAGAATGACTCTGTTTCTGTGTAGTCAAATTCCTACTCTACTTTTGACTGCTCTTGGTTTTGTGATTGAAAGAATGCAAATCATTCCAAGTTCTGTCATTTAAAATTTCTTGTTTTCTCTGTCCCTAAGGTCTAAGTGACCTGCTGGACTTTTCCTGAGATTGCTAACATAAACCTTTCATTTCCACCTGATAGCTTGATACCTTTTCCTATTCATCTATCAGATTCCCTTTGAGTTGATTTTTTCCCACTTAATGAGTACATTATACTATGCAATAGATGGTAGTATGGGTGATATATGGGCATAATATAGAGACAACTTGGGTATTCTGTAAAGACTAGGGAAATCATTAAGAAAAAGAAAAAATATTATTTGTGATATTTATAGCAACTGGAACAGGTTATTAAAGACAAAAAGGAACAAGTAGATTAGTAGCATTTAAAAACTTTATGCTTGGGGAGTTAGGAGGAAGAAATAGATAAGTAGGAGTTGCACAGTGGAGTTTTAGGGCAGGGAAACTACTATGCATGATGCTATAATGCTGGATACATTTTTCAGCATTAATAGAATTTATGGCATGGTAAACCCTAATGTAAACTATGGACTTTGAGTGATGACTGTGGATCAATGTAAGTTTATTTATTATAACAAATGTACCACTCTGGTGGAGCATGCTACTGGGGGGCGGGGAAGCTATGCCTGTGAGGGGCAGAGGGTACAGTGAACAATGTACTTTCCACTCAATTTTGTCATGGACCTAAAACTAGTTTAAAATGCAGTCTATTTAAAAACAAACAAACAAACAACAAACAAAAAACATACAAATAAAAACCCTCAAACATGTTCAATTCTCACTAATATCTTAGAAGCATCCAAAAGATGAACTACAATTTATTTTTTCTGATTCATATGAATGAGCTAACCTGTATGGGAAAATGTCTGCCCAGGGAAAATGTCTTTCTTGCTCCACTTACTAGCGACCTCTTTTGAGAAGCATTTTAAATGCTATAATCTAATTTTTTTTATTCTACTTTCCTAACATTTGCTTCTCATTTTCTTTCAGGTTTGAAGTTTGAGGAAATTCAAGAAAGATTTGGAGAGGAGTTCTTTAAAATATGTTTTGATGAGAATGAGAGAGTCCTTCGAGCTGTAGGTGGTACATTACAGGACTTTTTTAACGGCTTTGATGCTTTGTTGGAACACATTAGAACTTCTTTTGGAAAACAGGCCACTCTGGAATCACCATCTTTCCTATGCAAAGAGCTCCCTGAAGGTACTCTTATGCTCCACTACTTCCAYCCTCATCATGTGGTGGGGTTTGCAATGCTGGGGATGATTAAGGCTGCAGGAAAGAAGATCTATCGCCAGGATGTGGAAGTGGAACAGGTTGCAAACGAGAAGCTGTGCTCTGACGGTTCAAACCCAGGCAATTGTAGCTGTCTTACTTTCCTTATCAAAGAATGTGAAAATACTAACATCACGAAGAACCTTCCACAGGGAACCTCCCAAGTTCCTGCAGACCTCAGAATTAGCATCAACACCTTCTGCAGAGCCTTCCCTTTCCACCTGATGTTTGACCCTAACATGTCAGTCCTTCAGCTGGGAGAAGGCTTAAGGAAACAACTTCGATGTGACACTCACAAAGTGCTCAGGTTTGAAGACTGCTTTGAGATTGTTTCTCCAAAAGTCAATGCTACCTTTGAGAGAGTTCTGCTGCGACTGTCTACCCCATTTGTGATTAGGACCAAACCTGAGGCTTCTGGCACTGAAAATAAAGAAAAGGTAAGTGGATACGGACTTGAGATCGGTGAGGGGCACCATGGAATGGATAATTATTTCAATAAATTACATGCTGGCTATACTTGTAATTATTTAGGCAAGAGAGCTTTAAGTGCCATTTAGAAGATTACTGGTCCCTTGATGTATGTAAGAAGATTTGGCCCTATTCCCAGCCATTTTGCATAGTGTCTGCCTCATTCATTAATTTATTTCAGCACATAAAAAGGAGACATTTATTAATACTAGGCATAGCAATTACAAAAATGATAGGACTCACTAAAAATCTAATATTTTACATTCATGAATTTTTCCACTGATTGAAGTCAAACCATGAGAGAAATAGTGATACTGATTTCAGCATTGCAGGGTTTGATTGCCTTATCTGGAAATAAATATAGGTTAAAAAGTCAGCTATACTATGAATATGTTCTTTTCTAAATTTCATAATCTAGGAACATCTAATACATATCCTACTTTTGTCTTACTATACAAAATAATGTTCCCCATAGGTTGGAAATTGACTGTCTAAAAACTTCTCTTTAACTAAATTTTTAGTATTGAAATAGGTTCATCCTTTAGAATGTGTTCACTCCTTGAGAAGATTCAAAGAATACTAGTATTATGTACTCATGTTCTACTAAAATGCAGTTCTCTTAGGCTTTCATCTTATTTCCAAGTATTTTGAGGAAGTATTGGTTATTAGAAATTTAATAGGTTGCTATGGCTAAAGGAAGGAAAATTTTCAGAAATAATGAAAAACTCAGTAAGTGAATAATCTACTATACATATTCTGGATTGTCTGTAATAATAATTAATGAAAAAATAGGATCCTGAAAGTAGAGTCAAATATGTTTTTGAGGATTTTGTACAGTATTAGTTTCATAGTTAACTTTATAATTTTGAAGTTCAGTGGAAACCTTTTAAAGTGTTTGAGAAAGATGGAATGATCCTWATGTATTCCCTTTGAATAAGTGATTTAGGAAAATAATTCAGTAATATTTTTATTATATAAATCCAGGGATTACAAATCATCTAAGGATAGACCTGGATTTGATACATTTGGATATTTTAGTGTGAATGAATTATTATTATTGTTCTTATTCTATCACAGAAAGATATTTTTAATTTTTTTTAGTAGTACTGGGGATTGAACTCAGGGCACTTTACATCTGAGTTACACCCCTAGTCCTTTCTAGTTTTTATTTTGAAACAGGGTCTTGCTAAATTTTCCAGTCTGCCTCAAAATTGTGATCCTCYTGCCTCAGCCCCGCAAGTTTGCTGAGATAACCGGCATGTGCCACCATAGTCAATTAATAATATTTTAAGGTGATATATATATTAATTATACATATAAATATACATATATATTTATTAATTACTGCTAATTTTGAGGCCTCTTAGAATGGAAGAAACTTGGTAAATGTGTATTTTTGTTCACATTTGTAATTGCTTTAAAATGGGAATTATGCTAGCTTTTTAATTTAGAAAATATTAAAGCTGTCATTTCGGTTTTACAGGAGTTCAATATTTGGCATGGAGGGTTTGAAGCATATTTTGGCCTTTAGAATTGAAGTTAGCATTTTCAAAAATGTTCCTGAACTAGATTATTAACAATGTTAATTGTTTTATATATTGGGGAAAAATCCATTCAATTTAAATATAATGCTTCAGATTTCCCCCCTATATTTGGCTTGTATTTCTGTTGAATTTGTATACCAGGGTAAGAAATAGACATAATGAAATGATGACTCAAATGTCAAGGCCCCCTGCCAATTCCAATAATAAGGAACTGGCTCATTGAGAAGATGCAATTATCATCTAAACATGCTCGCTCATGTAGTTTAAAAATAAAGCCATAGGCTAGATTTTTAGTTATGTGCTCATTCTTACGTTTACATTTCTGCATACCCACCTGAGAAATGGTTTTGAGAAGGGAACATTTTGGAGACTATAGTTGTCCCAAATTGGAACTATAATCAGTGATGGCATAGAATCTTACCCAGGTGAATATGTAATATTTTTGAATTAATGTGTCATCAAATTCCAGTATGTAGTTTCTTAAGATATGGAAAGAAGAAAGCAAATCAGGCTTAAAAATTAATTATGTTCTTATTGATAAATGTGACCTTGATATGCATTATTTCCCCATAATAGCTGTTCTTATTAATAGATTACTTCATGTTGCTTGAAGTCTCTAGTTTTTATTTGGCTTGGATAAGAAACTGCTATTTTACAATAATTTAACATATATAATTCTTAGTCTAACACTAAAAGCTTTCATTATTTATCTATTTTGTCTATGCACTTAATACCAATGAACCACTACCGCTGCCATCAAGAGAAAAAGTTGAGTTAATCATCAGTCATGACAGTAAAACATTTGCAGATTGAATTGAAAATGCTTCTGATAAATTATGATCTTCGTGATTTTATTTATTTATTTATTTTATTTGTTTATTTTATGACTAGAGGTACAAAATGCTCATAAGCAAGTTGGTGAGATACTCGTGAAACAGAAAGCCATTATCTTAGACTCTAAAGTATTACATCTTGATCCTGCTGTAATGGGTTATAAACATGTAAGGCTTGATCAAGATGTCAACTTGTCACTGAGAGGCATCTGGTGCAACAATCCATGGCAGGTTTCAATTCAGCAGTCTTGAAGTCAGAAGAAACATCCAGATGGCTTAATTAGGCTTTGATCCCATCACTTGGTTTCCTCTACATCTCTAAGTGCTCATCCATGTCTCACACAGTCTCTCTCTCTTTCTCTCCCTCTCTCCCCCTCTCTCTCATTTCTTTTCTCCCCATGTGTTTTCATGTCCTTAAGCTCAACTTCTTTTTCTGCACCTTCTTACTCATCAAATTTCAAGCACTGAATATGAATAAATTAGTTATTAAAAACAGATATGCTAGCAATAAAGACTCTCTTAGATATCCATATTAATCTGTGCCATGATCTCTTTCACATCAWTCAGATCTAATATTGTTCTGAGAAACTGGGATCTTGTTTTGAATTACAAGGCTTTGTGATGAATTGGAGAAGAAATTTGTTTGCAATCCAGAAAGCTGCTTGGAGGTTAATATTTTCATGTGAACTCAACCCATTGAAGTTGATTTCAATGTTTCTTTTTGTGGAGGATTATTACAAATCAGGGTAATGGCACATATTCTTATACTGTAAAGTCATACATGATAAGTGTCAACAGATTGTAAGAGAGTTTCCTCTGATAACCTTGATTTTAGTAAATCCTTTTAATTTCTGAGTGTCAGACTGCTACATCTGGAAATTAAGAAACTTAGACTAATAATTAATATTTGTATTCCTCTATAAGTCATACTTGATACATGTATATTTATATGATATCAATTATTATGGTTTAGGTGTGGTGTCCCCCAAAAGCTCACATATGAGACAATGCAAGAAGATTTGGAGGAGAAATGATTGGGTTATAACCTTACCCCAATCAGTGAATTGATCCCTGATGGGATTAACTGAGTGATAACTAAAGGCAGATGGTGTGTGGCTGGAGAAGTGATTCATTGTGGGTGTGGCTATGGGGCATATAATTTGTATCTTGAGAGTGGAGTCTCTCCCTGCTTTCTGATCATCATGTGAGCTGCTTCCCTCCTGCATACTCTTCCACCATGATGTTCAGCCTCACCTCGACCCCTTAAGAATAGGAGCCAGCTGCCTTTGGACTGAGACCTCTGAAACCATGAACCCTCAGATCTTTTAGTCACAGCAGTGTAAAAGAGGATTAAAAAACATCAATTGACCATAACCTTTTTCTCATCCCCATGATTCAGTGAATTCAGATTCATTTTAAAAGAGAGGAAGGGGGAAGGTGGCTTATCTACCAGGAAGAATGCATTTTATTATAAAGACTGGATTAAAAAAATTCTCCTGACAGTTTAGGTGACCAGCCTGAGAAAATTACTTGTAAGTATTAAATGATATAATCTACCTAAAATTCTTAGCATCTGCAGCTCGAAGAATTAAGTTGCTGAATAAAAATTGTTATTACTTTTTCCACTATATTGTTATTGTTCCTTCCCACCTGTAATGTTCCCTCTACACATTCCCCTACTCACTTCTTTTTGCCTTAGAGAAGACAGTATCAGATATCAGCAGGTTTAATAATTTTAGAGAAATATCAACCTCACCTAACATCTTTGTAAAAACAGGGCTTGGTCTCTGCTTCTTGTCTTCTTAATAAAGATTAGAAAACCACTTGTCACAAGTCCTCCAGGAGCTCTATTTGGGTTTGCTTTTTATTTACAAATTATTACTTTTTAAATTCCCTGGTCTTCTTTGCAGATTCATGAAAGTTTGGAATCAAATTTTCATTACCCCCTCTACTAATATAATTTATATTCACTTATCAAAGCATTTTGCAGTGKCTTCCCAAATGAAAGAGATGGATTAACCTAGCCACAGACTGAAATGGCAATGGATTTTGAAAAACAATAAACAACATGAGTTATTTTGACTTTTTTTTTTGGTGGTTGTTTGGTAGCAATGCTTCAAAGAACCTTAATAATACCCTGGAAAAAGTCCAGCAWTTGAAATACATCATCTCTAGGACAGAACAATAGTGTTGTTATTCATCTTCTGTTTTGTTCTCAGGGTAAGCATTAAGGAAAAGTATAACAAAATTACATTTTTTAATCCTCAGAAATATCCTCACATTTGTCTCATCAGTTAGAAACTGCAAGTAAATTCTGGGAAATAACTTTCAATAGATAAAGCAGGAAATAATCTATAATTTTCTGTGGTTGTATCTGTTTTGAAAATCTTCCTTTATCTTTTCTAGACAGGTACCCATCTTTTTATGATGTGCTGATTGAAAAGATTTAAATATATTTATTTATCTTACCATACATAAAGAACTTCTGAAAGACAAGTTTAATTTGGCTGTCAAGAATAAATTTTTAGGCCAGGCATGATGGTGCACKCCTGTAATCCCAGTGGCTTGAGAGTTTGAAGCAGGAGGATCATG